TGGTACAGACATTTGACGAAACCTACCACGTGGCAAGCCCCAGGGCCACTCCTGTAAAGAATAAGGCTCAATACCATTGTTGTTGCTGGTACTATGTAAACTTTGTGAAATAAACCCATGATGACACAACATAACGTTGAATTGCTTGCAAGTGCTGTCTGTGTTGGGTAAATGTCTTGGCTCGGATGTGAGGTGTCCCAGCTGTGTGTGTGGCAGTACAAGTGTAATGAGCGACTTCCACGAAACGTCACATAGAGAGTACTTTTTTATTTCTCACAGTGGGCACAATACAGGCCAACACTGGTTCTTCCTCTCACTGAATAGAACTCTCGGCAATAACACCTCTCCTGGCTGCACGCAGAGCCAATCACTCGGCGTGGTCCCCTCAGCCAGGACCCAGGACCCCACACGAGCCCCGAGCTCCGGGTCCGCTCCCCATTATATTCCCCCAGGTGTGGCTAAGCCCCGCCTCCAGCCACGCCCTCTCGTGAAACCTTCGAGCAGGTTCCTGGAGCATTTTGGCTACCCCCACCTGTTTGCTTTTCCCCAGATACGCCTCCTTCCCTGATTGGCTGTTACTACTGTGGCTGTACCCGTAAATGCCTTCCCAGGACAGCAGGTGTCACTTTGTCATGTCAGCAGGTGTAACCCTGTCATTACACAAGGACAAACATATGAGAGACGTTTTGGGGAATGGCCCATCTTCAGAGCAAATACAAATAGTGGTGGGAAAATATATTCAGGTGAATCGCCTCCTGCACAACACTGCCACTCTACTCCACTGCCCCAATGACCTCTGTCCCTCTGTCCCTTTGCCGGACTGCCCCCTCTGCTCCACTGTCCCACTGCTCCTCAGCTCCAATGCTGCCCTGCCCTTCTGCTCCACTGCACCTCTGCCCCCCTTCTGCCACAGCAGTTGAAACAAATAGTTGAGTTTCTTAAACCCCCTGCCTCTGTCCACCTAGCAGTAGAAATGTTTACGCCACAATCGAGCAGCAAGATGCGTGTGGTGGGTTAAAGTTTGGGTACTCCTTGCTCTTCTAAAACACCTGCCCAATGTGGAAGATTAGACCAAAATATCGTCTAAAGGGACTTTCTAGAACTCGGTCTTGTAGAAATTCTTCCTGCCACCAGAGGTATGAGAAAGCAATTGTGCCACCACTCAAAAATCGAAATTGTTTTGACAGAATATTCAAAGAATGCTGCTGCTCACGATACAGGCTGCTGCTGGATAACCAGGTTTTGAAACCTGGCACCCGCCAGTGATCAAAGCGGGTTCTCTAGTCTAGCAAGTTCAGGATCTCAGCCCAGTCGGCATTGACTGTGTAGTGGCAAAGCATTTGCTGCTGGCAGAAAATAGGATCTGTGGCGTACGGCAGTCTTGTCATCAGCAAGCCAGGATATGCACGCGCAGGATCTAGGGTAAAGGTCACAGAGGGGCCCACCAGAACCCGCTCGTAGGTTCTAGAAAGGGGGCGTGACCAGGGCGGAGCGAGTCCACGTGACGGTGTAAGAGGGGCCCCTGTGGGGCACCGTGGGGCTGTGTTTGGAATGTGAACCCCGTTGTGCTGCTGTAGTCCATCGTCGCCATTCTTCTCATCGTCATCTCCATCTCCACCATCTCGGAGCGCCGCTCGTCAGGCAGCCTCCCGCCTGTCCTGGCTGAGTAGCGTCGCCATATAATAGATGGTCGAAGTATTAAGTTTTAATTCCGTCGGTGCACGTCAATAAATAAGTGTCTCCAAGTCTTATCGTCTCCGAGTTAGTCACTACATTTGCACAAAATAGATCTGAAATTGCTGCTATCCTCAAAAACGCTAAGAAACCCATTAGCAACATCAGCAAGGACGAGCGTTTTGAACTCTCTAAATAAAAAAAACATAGATGACATTGTCATACTCTCAGCCGACAAGGGCAATGCCACTGTCATCGTGGATAAAACCACTTACAACAACAAAATTCAGGACCTTCTTAATGATGGCAGCTATACTAAAATCAACAGAGATCCCACCAACTGCCTAGCCACAAAAACCAACAATATCATCACTAAATCAACTTCTCTAATCGATCAGACCAAGCAGCGCTCTCTAAAACCTTCGGCTGCGAGACCACCCAGATTGTATGGCCTTCCAAAAATCCACAAAGTAGGTACCCCGCTCCGTCCTATTGTCTCCACCATTAGCTCACCCACCTACAAACTGGCCCGATTGCTGTCTGAGACCCTGCTTCCTTTCACGGGCAAGTCCACCTCAGCTGTACTTAACTCAGCTTACTTGGTTTCTCTAATCAAGGACATCTCAATGTCTTCAGATGATTTGCTTGTCAGCTTCGATGTAGTCTCCCTGTTAACCAAGGTACCTGTACCTGACACCATTGCAATCATTGAAAACTTGGTCCAACAGGGACTGAATCCTGATGTACCAACTTTGGTGAGGCACTGCCTTACCAACACGTACTTCACCTGGAATGGTACATTCTACAAACAAAATGAGGGTACCTCAATGGGTTCTCCCTTATCGCAAGTGGTAGCGAATGTTTTCATCGAGAAATTTGAGACAGATGCCATTCAAACATCCACCCTACGTCCCTCCTTATGGAAAATATATCTACAGTGAGGGAAAAAAGTATTTGATCCCCTGCTGATTTTGTACGTTTGCCCACTGACAAAGAAATGATCAGTCTATAATTTTAAAGGTAGGTTTATTTGAACAGTGAGAGACAGAATAACAACAACAAAATCCAGAAAAACGCATGTCAAAAATGTTATAAATTGATTTGCATTTTAATGAGGGAAATAAGTATTTGACCCCCTCTCAATCAGAAAGATTTCTGGCTCCCAGGTGTCTTTTATACAGGTAACGAGCTGAGATTAGGAGCACACTCTTAAAGGGAGTGCTCCTAATCTCGCCGTCTTTGGAGGAGGAAAAATGCTGCCTATGACCCCAAGAACACCATCCCCACCATCAAACATGGAGGTGGAAACATTATGCTTTGGGGGTGTTTTTCTGCTAAGGGGACAGGACAATTTCACCACATCAAAGGGACGATGGACGGGGCCATGTACCGTCAAATCTTGGGTGAGAACCTCCTTCCCTCAGCCAGGGCATTGAAAATGGATCGTGGATGGGTATTCCAGCATGACAATGACCCAAAACACACGGCCAAGGCAACAAAGGAGTGGCTCAAGGAGAAGCACATTAAGGTCCTGGAGTGGCCTAGCCAGTCTCCAGACCTTAATCCCATAGAAAATCTGTGGAGGGAGCTGAAGGTTCCAGTTGCCAAACGTCAGCCTCGAAACCTTAATGACTTGGAGAAGATCTGCAAAGAGGAGTGGGAGAAAAACCCTCCTGAGATGTGTGAAAACCTGGTGGCCAACTACGCCTTTTGGCGTCATCTGGTCCAACCCATGTGAGACTAGGCTCTAAGGAAAGCTGTCTCGGGTGTGGGCCAATCAACTTCAAGGACAGTGCACATTATCAGAGTTATGTCTTTTGTTAGTATTATGACTGCAGGTATTGTGGTCTATGCAAACATGACTCCTTGTAAAAAGGTGTCAGTTTTGTTGCAAAATAGAAGGGTAAAAAACCAATTATCATATTTTTACTGGCAAATGAGGTTCCCATATTGCAAACCCTAACCCTCTAAACACCTAACTCTTGAATCCAATCAACCCCTAACACTCTAAACCCCTAAACCATATAACCCTCGAAATCCCTAAACCCCTTATCCCTGAAATAACCCAAAACCTCTAAACCCGTAACTTTATAAATCACTAACCCTCTAAACCCCTAACCCTTTATGTGGAATGTGGTGGGGGGTGGGATCATGGGGTGGGTGGGTGCAGGGTATGTGTGGTGTGCGGTGGGTGGTGGGTATCACAGGGGGGTGAATGGGTGCAGGGTGTGTGTGGTGGGTATGGTGATAGTGGTCGTGGTCCACAACGATCCGTGACCACCACCACTACTGTGTGGTGGACCGGCCACCACAGCAGCACGCGTCGGAGGAGTGAACGGATAGTTCTCCCTATGCGGGCCAGACTCCCTCGCTTCCTCTTCTCCTCCTGCATCACCATCACCTGATCCTCTTTCCTTGTCATCTCCTTCTCCTCCACCATCTTCTCCACCAATGTCTCCTCCACCTGCACCACCATCTCCTGCACCACCATCTCCTCCTCCTGCTCCTTCGTCCATACCTCCTCTGTATCCCCCCTCATCTCCTCTTCTTCCTGCACCACCAGCTCCTCCACCAGGGTCTCCACTTCCTCCACAACAACCGTCAGCTTCCATTTAGAGGCCTGGGCGAGCGCGGAGGATGGGGGCAGCGCCGGCTCCGCTCTGTAAAGAGATGCGCACGACACCGTGATGGTGGGTTTAACAACGCACGTATATCTACGCGATCTAACCGAAACAACCCTGTATTATTAGTAATACTTCCGGTTTAATTGTGACTTGCCCCGGGCTCCACACCTCCCTATGGACTGCCTTGAACATTTGACAAGCAGATCGTGGCTTACCGTCGCTCAGCAGCTCCAAAACACTGTACACTGCCAGGAGTAGCAGTGGTGGTGGCGTTGCTGGTGGTGCTGGTGGCTGCGGTCCGGAGCCAGCTGTGACCCAGCACCTGTGCTGGCGTCATGCGACAATCTGGATCCCATTTGTTGAGAGACACACGGGGGTCACACGTGGCGCACATGGTGAGAGAGGCGTGGTGAGAGCATTGACGTTCCTTCCCTTCTTCCACGAGGTCCAGGAACGCACGGCAGCAGCGGTAGTCGTGGTATCAGCGGCAATCCTTCAATACGCAGTACTCTAAAAATGCCCTGAGCCTCGCACTGCCGAGTAGAATCTTTAATGAACCTCCAAAGAGGGCGATCTCAACACCGGTGGTACTGGTCATCGGCAGGTTCACTCAGCTCCACATCTTCCTGCTGATCGGAGGAGAGCGATCGTTGATCACCTTGGTGGGGGAAATCTTCATGGGGAGGGGGTGGGGGATGATTCTTACCGCAGGCAGGAGCTGATGAATTCAACAAACTCCGGGTCGTGGTTTTTGAGTGCCCCGTGAAGTGACAAGCTCCCTGGCACCCTTCTCTTGACTGGGTAGAACATCATGCCCACACGATCTGCAGGAGACATGCACAGCAGGAGAGACACACAGTCACCAACCACCACTTTGCCCACCTACCCACTTACCCACCCACCCACTCTCCCACACACCCATTTACCCACCCACTCACCCAAGGAATTGAAAATACAAAGAGGCCCCCCCCATGGCCACCCCCCCAAAAAAACTACAACAGCTCCAGGCTACACCCTAACACTGAATCCGGTCGGTTGCTCGCCCCACCCTTCAACTCACCAAAGTAGTGCATTCCGTCAGGAGCTGCATCCATCATACATCTTGGAGGCAACCCGAGGATCTGCACATGGTTGAGATAAAGGCAAAGGTCACCCGTGTAGCTGCAACAGACTGTAGGGGCAAGTGCTTTTAGTAGTGAGTATAAACAGCAGCAACAGCAACGGTAATGCGAGTTTGGAATCAAACTCGCATTACCGGGTTTGCAGCTGAGCACGCTAACCGCTGCACCACTGCTTCCCCCACACGTACAAGACACACACGTGTACACACAACATACGATGGCTGCCATTCGCCAGGTCACCAAGTACCCAATCGCCCCCCCCTCTCCTACCTCCCCCCCCCAGAGCCGACAACTTCAAGGAAGGAGGGGGGAATCACGAGTGGGTGAACGCACAGTTGGAAATACCTCCATGCAGCACGGGAGGTGTCATCGCGGCTGTCCGACTGCAATAATTCCCGGCCGGTCACCAACTCCGCCACCGTGCAGCCCAGTGCCCACATGTCCACTGCACAGGTCAATCTGTAGCCCAGCAATACCTCCGGAGATTGGAATGGCCGGGTCCCACCAACATGCAGAGCTGCACAACAATCACAACAACAACAAATGTATATGTATGTGTGTACTCACTATGTCATGAACAGCATCCTTGTCACACACTGTCACATGTACAGACACTAAGAGACTTGCACACACACTGGTACACAGTCACACCCACACGCAGAAACTCACACCCAGGTGAGGTTACGTTGACGTTTCACAAAAAAGCTGGTGCCAAAGTCCGTGACCCTGATGGTGCCGGTCACGGTGTCCTTGATTGGAACATTTTTCTAAAGGAAGAGAGGCAGAAGGAATTCACACTCGAAGGTTACGCCAATAGCATTCAGCCAGCAGTGGATCAATCACGTACCACAGTACATACTAAACAGGGGAACTCGGTGAGGCATAGCGCCGTCGTCAACCTTTAGTCAAGTGCAACATTCCCTGTTTTCTGACAGCTGCCACTGGGGGTGCCCCTTTCAAATGCGTCAAGGCGAGCGATGTTCGTCGAGGCTCATCACATGTAAAGCTCTCTAAAGCACCATCTCAGTAAAAGGGTGCGGCTCTATAGACAACTTATCCTAGTTGCTCACAGCTGCCCGTTAACGAGTTACGAACCAAAAACCACACTCGAGGGCACACGGATTTAGGAACGATTTGGAAAGTTTCCCATTTGTAATAAAGGACTCTCTCTCAGATGTCGATCTCCGTTGTCTTTTATTGGGTTCGTTGAATCTCGATACCACGGCGTCTCGCTCGGGCCCGCGTCCCGCTCGACGACCTGTCCACAGCCCTCGGCTGCTCCCGTTATACAGTCTCCCTGCTGCTCCGATATGCAGTCTCCCTGCTGCCCCGTCAGGCAATCCTTGCAGCCACACCGCTGCCCCGCTATCTAGCGTCACTGCTGCCCCTTCCACAGCTAGCCTCTCACTGCTCCCGTTAGCTCTCTTCGTCTGACACCGATGGCTGTCGGTGTCAACGTCTCCCACCGCGTGGCGACCGCGCCACACTCTCCGTCTTTCCCAGCGTGGCCTCCTCGTGTTTCACTCCGTCTCCACCCTCCCTTCCCCTTCCGTTTCTCTCCCTAAATCCTCTCCCCCACGTGACCCTAACTCCACCCACTCCCCACGTGACCCAGACTCCGCCCCCCCTCAATCCTTGCTCGCATTACACATTCACAGCATGGAAGCCGACAATGGGCACCTGTCAGTTCAAAAGCGTGTTTGGCACGTTTTGAAAATCATTCTTTTCGGCTCCGGTTTGTGTTTCCCAAAGTTTGTGGCAACGCTGTGATCTACATTGCTGGTTTTCTCTGTGGTGAGTCCCCCAATAGCGACACGACTCTACACGACAGTTTAATTCATACCGGATCATCACCAGAGGTAACGTGACCCTGTCTCCTTCCAGATAGACGGACAGAGCTAACACATCGACCCTGTGACCAACGTGGGCGGTTTTCTCTATGGTCCGAGTCCCCAATAATGACACAACTCCGGAACAAAGTCCCGCTGAATGCTGTGTCCACTCACTGGCTTGATGTCCGCATGGATGATGCTCCTGGCCTTGGTGTGGCAAAGGAACTTGAGTATGCCCCTGGTGTAAGTTTTCACCATCCCCATGTGCAATTGCCGGAGCCCTGCCTCCCGAAATCACATCATGGAGGCTCTCCCTGTGAAAGAGGCAGAAGCAACAATTACAACAACGACGCAGTGTCAGTGTCATACCCTGCAATACTGCGTGGATTATGATAACGACAATATTAATATTCTATTTGCACATTCACGACTAATACGAGTCATAGTTCCGTGTGGGTTTAGGTCATTGGTTTGCTGATAAACCGAATCAGCTAGCACATCTGACCACTTGCTTTCATTGGCTCTGTTTCCGGGTGGTGGAGTTATCTATTAGGAGATACAAACTCCACGCAGAAAGGCGTCCGTGCTGAGACTCAAACTCAGGGATTTTCACCGAGGGGCACAAGCGTCACCACTACGCTGCGGCCAACCTGCTGATCGAGTGGAGGTGTGGCTATATAAAAGTGGGCGGCGCTGATTGAGAAAAGAGGAGTGGCCTCTAGTGCACCTGGGGGCACATGACAGCTCCACAGTATCGCAATGCGATACTGTGGAAGAGATCGGGGCTTTGATCCTGACCCTGACGCATGTATATTCTGAGTTTGCATGTTCTCCCCCTGGTCACGTGGATTTTTCTGCGGGTCCTCTGGTTTTTCCCTCCACATTTAGAAACATGTGTTTAGAGTATTTGGCTGCCATATATTTCCACATCAGCCACTTTTTTGAGCTATCATTTGTAGCCAGGCCGCTTGTGAAAAATAACTAATCGGGCAGTGGGCTTTACCTGCTAAATAAAATAGTTTTTGTTTAGCTAATGACGTTAACCACGCTATGGGGAGTGGGGGGGCGGTGCGAACACATGGTACGTACTTCAACAGCTCCAGGACAATGCAGTGGTGTCCTCTGAAGTCAAAATGGTTCAGGACTTTGACGACGTTGTAGTCCGCATCACTGCCCTCGCCCTGAAGTTCCAGAGCCATCTTGATCTCCATTCTCTGAGATGTATCACGCTTGGAGCTGTGCAGAGAAAATCCACAAATGAATCATGACTTAGACTTGCTTAAGGAATGACCAGAAACAAATTATATTCAGAATTAAATAATTATACGTTCCCCAAGTGTAATGTCATTGTGAGTTCCAGTAGCGCGCTCATGGAAGGTTCCAGAAAGGATAGGGAAGAGGATAAAATAAGCAAGGGATAGAGGGGGGTTTGAGGTGCTGTCTTAACGTAGTGATTCCCTAATGTGTGAATTGAGCCGACTCCAAGCATGGCCCCAGCCACACTCAGGATTTCCAGGAGCTGAGCCAAGCCACGGCTGAGCCACTCGTGTATCTTTATCAGCAGCTGAGTGGCTCAAGCCTGAGCCCAATCACGGCTGAGCTGGAGCTGAGCCTGAGTTTTAGAGACTGAGCCATAGCTGATTCGTGACTGAATGTGGCTCTCACAGAGCAAGGCATTATAACGTGGAACATCATGGGACCTCCTTTGCCAATACCAAAATATGAGAATAGATTTTCCCCTTTTTCCTTGCAACAAAACAGGTGTTAAGATGTAAAAAAAAAACTGAAACCTTTACAAGGAATCATGTCTGAATTAACCACAATACTTGTGGTCAGTATGCAAACAAAAAACATACTCTGATAATATATGCATTAAATTTCGATTTAAAGCTTTCGTGACTGCAGGGATTCATCTTCTTGGTTCTTTCGGTAAAGTCACGTAGAAGGGAAGTAATAAAATAATAAAAATAAAACATAATAAAACAATTCTCACGACGTTTCGGCCACAACGCAAGCAGCCGTCCTCAGGTGAAAACCAGGTCCGTCGAGGCGACAGAGTCTGAATGAAACAGCACACGAGCTTGGAGCATATATGCGCCCAGCTTATATATATGCTCCAAGCTCGTGTGCTGTTTCATTCAGACTCTGTCGCCTCGACGGACCTGGTTTTCACCTGAGGACGGCTGCTTGCGTTGTGGCCGAAACGTCGTGAGAATTGTTTTATTATGTTTTATTTTTATTATTTCATTACTTCCCTTCTACGTGACTTTACCGAAAGAACCAAGAAGATGAATATATGCATTGTCTTTTAAACTGATTGGTCCACACCAGAGAGCTTTCTGTTGAGTCTAGTCTCAAAACGGTGTTAAACCAGAGGACGCCAAAAGGCGTACAGCACACAGACGAGCACATTCAGAGGAATGAGAGCTCGGGGTGAGCAGCGACATCATGGGACCTCCTTTGCCAGTATATTTTTGGTCCTGGCAAAGGAGGTCCCATGATGTAGCTACTATAATGCAGAACGCACATGTTATAACACAGAACGCACCCGTTATGACATGGGACAACCTCCTTAAAGCGTGGAACGTGCCTTTTATAGCGTGGAACGTGCCTTTTATAGCGTGGAAGGCTCCCGTTATAACGCGGACCGCACCCATTATAATCCGAAATGCATCTGTTCTAATGCAGGAAAGCCCCATTATAACGTGGAATGTGCCCGCTATGAAACTGCACGGCTGAGCGGTATGATACAGTAGGCGGAATGCGGATTGATAACGTGACGTGACAGCATACCCTCCATTATTGGTCTCTTCATATCACTGTGTGCGTGTATTATATCTTGCAAAACTTTATCGTTACATTATATATGGGGATATTATGTTTTCTTAATGTGCTTTCCCTTAACGCGGCACTTTTCAGGAATGCATCTACCAAGTGAAATGAATAATTAATGTAATGTAGGAGAGAACTGATCCAGAACAGGGGGAGAACATACAAACTCCACACAGGAGGGCACCCGAGTCAGGAGTCGAACTGGGGTATCTCTGTGAGGCACGCGTTGTCACCACCTCATCACACGGCCGCCCACAGCAAAGGACTGAACAACAACGTCGTCCTTGTGACAACACCGCTCTGAATTCTTACCTCAATGGTGATACCAAGATCTTCACGGCCACCAGGGTGTTCCTCATGTGGTCAAGGCACCGGATCACCTGGCCTTGACCTCCTTCCCCAATCTTCTTCAGCACCTCATAGCGGTAGTGGAGGTGCTCATGCTGGACCTGCACCAAATTACAATCATTTAGACGGACTATATTTTGAAAATCACAACATGTAAGAAGTGTGAGCCTTATTTTATGAAATAATTTTTTATTAAGCGTTTGGTTTTCTTAAATCTGTAATTGTGGAATGCTCTGATGTCTGCTGGCTGAGACACCCTTAAAAAAGCTCATTAGCTCAATGGGCTTAACTTGTGAAATAAACTTGATTGTGAAGTGTGTGGGAGAGTGCATGTGTGCTGTCTCTGGGTGGTTGGTACTTCAGGTGCAATTGTGGTGGTCAAGGTTGACACCAAGGTTGACACAGGTCACACAGGTCACACAAGCTAGGGGAGAGGTACGTACCGGTCTGGACCGGTCCGGATCGACAGGGACGAGAGGTGGTTGGAACCGCTCTGAGGGGAGGGGGCTGGCGAGAGCCAGGGCCCGAGACACCCCCGTCCCTCAGAGAGAGGGGATATAAGACGGCTCCCGGAGAGCGGAGGGGGCGATCTCACGAGAAGCTGAAGGAGGTGCGGCCGGAGATCCTGGACCCCCAAGCCTCGAGGATGCCGCCCCGCTGGAACTGAGTGGGCTGAGTAGCTGTAGGCTAGGGGAGGAGAGTAGCTGAGTAGCTGTAGGCTAGGGAAGAGAGTAACAGAGTAGCTGTAGGCTAAGGAAGGAGAGAAATGAGAATAGAGCCGGAGGCTGTACCTCCCTAGGTTGTGTGGTTGGACTGTTCCCCCAGTGAGTCCTGAGGACTAGTGTTATCGGAATAAAAGCGTGTGGCCTCTACGAAGTCTCGGTCTCATTCAAGAATACTACAACTGGTGTTAGAAGCGGCCAAAGAACCTCGCCGACATGGAGACAAGACAGAAAGCGCTCACCAGGGGCCAGGAGAAGGACGTCGAGGGAGACGCTGAGCCGGAGGCGGGAGCGCCATTTCCGGAGGACGGGTCTGCGGGGCCCTCCAGGAGTCCGCCGACGTCGGGATGGGCGATCCAGTCGGCCCATGCCCGGCTGGCCGATCTCCTCCATGCCGCTGCCTCCATCCTCGACGAGCTCACGCTGGGGGGAGCGGGAGCGCCGGGTGGAGTACCAGGCCGGAGGATGGGACGGGTTCCCGCCGAGAAACGCGCCATTCCCGCGCAAAACTTTGACGTAACCTCCGGAGGGGGAGACGTCACTTCCGCCGGGAATGCGGCCACCGGGGATGACGTCACTTCTGCCGGGGGGGTCACCGCTTCCGGGGGACATGACGTCACCCGCCCAGGAGGTCAGGGGGCAGAGGTGGCCCGCGTCACATCCGCCATCTGCGGCTTTACATCGGGAGAAGCAGAGTTTTCGGGTAGGTGCCCGCCAATTCGGTCTGATATTCTGCCGCCGGAAGATGCTTCATATACTGCACTTGGGACGCTGCTGTCTTCGAGGGGGGACTACATCCCGGCGCTGCAACAGCGCTTGCCTTCGCTTCAGGTTTTCACGGCTGCTTTTTCACGCCGTTTCGTGGCAAATGCCGAGACGGCTGGGTGGTCTGCCGACATCGCTCTCCGAGCCCTGCCTTCCGCCTTGGACGACGTGGCCTTGGCCACGTTCCTCCTTATTCCACGGAGGCAACGCTCCACTTTGCAGGAGGCCCTCGATCGGATGGCCTTAGTGTATGGACCTCCATCCGAAACAAGACATCGGCTCGCCAGTCGGAGGAGGGAGGCGGACGAGACACCTCTTGCCTATCAGAGTGCACTGATGGCGTTGGCTCAAGCAGCCTATCCTCGAATGGACGATGTGGGCCTGGACTCCATCGTGCTTGAGAAGTTGCTGCTGCTGGCTCAGGAACTGAGGATTGCCATCCACGTCAAAGACGAAGCTAACCTTTCCTCGCTGGGGGCGGCACATTACCTGCACACAGAGTTGCTCCTCCAGTGGGATGGGCAGGTGGCTGCGTGCGCCGCTGCAAGAGTTGACGAGGTCCCGGATACCCAGGCCTTCGCGTCGCAGCGGGCCGCCAGTTGGAGGGGGGCCGACCGGCCTCGCCAAGGGGAAACCCGGGGGAGACACGGATCCCCGCGGGCGTGGGCTCGCTTCACGTGCTACAACTGTGGCCAGCTGGGTCACCTGGCATCGGGTTGCCCAGCACCCCGGCGCCGGGCTCCGGGTCATCCACCATCGTCCGCCCGTCCGCCGGCCGCTCCACAAGAACCCCAGGCATATGGCGACACCTCACGCACACGGTCTCTGCCCGCATCTCATACACCGCATACACCGCATACACCGCGAATCGGCGCGCCACTAAATCGCGTTGCGTTGAAGGGTGGGGAGCGGAATGGGGCTGATGTTCGGGGGCCACTTCGCGCGGCTCAGTGGTCCGAGTTGGCCCACAGGGTCGTGGCCGCGGCGACGGGCTCGTCGGTTATTCTCGGGGATATTGAGGGAATTCAATTTAGATTGTTGGTCGATACGGGGGCTTCGGCTACTATAATTTCCGACCTCATATACAACGTGTTACCAAAGAGATGTCAGGCACTCACCCCGTTCTCCGTCCCTTGCTTTGCGGCAAATCGGGGTTCCCTCGGGATTATTGGCCAAATAACTGCACAAATTTGTATTGGCGACATTAAATTATCTGGTCCCGTTTTGGTTTCCGATGCCTTGGCCGTTCCCTGTTTGTTGGGTACGGATTTCTTGGGGAGGATGCCCATCAAAATTTTAATTGACAAAGGCTGCATCGAGCTTCCTTCGGGCCGCCGGATGGCGTTTCTGCCCTCACCAAACCGGCTGCGCACAGCTTGCACGACTGTTCCGGCTATGGCGTCTGAAACCGTGCGGATTCCGCCGGGTGCGCAGATGCTAATACCACTTCAGTTACGCAAACCACTGGAGGCAGACGCTACGTCGGGGGTTTTGTTGTCTCCTTCAAATACGACCGAGCGAGGGTTGGACCTGGTGGGTGCACAAACGCTTGTGCCTAGAGATGGACAGCCCTTCATTCAGGTGCTGAATGCGGGGTTGCGGACGAAGGTCGTGCACCGAGGGGCTGTCGTTGCACATGCGTCGCTGCCGCTGCACACTGACTCTGTCGCGGCTCATGTCGGTGAGGCGTCGGCGTTCGGGACGCAGGTGGGTGTCGATGAGGCATGGATGGATTCTCTCTGTTCAGGGGCTGAAAATCTTTCAGAGTCACAAAGATTAAAGCTGCGCATGTTGCTTCGTGATTTTCCCGATGTTTTTAGCAAACACAAATTCGATGTTGGGTGCACTAATCTATTGAAACACCACATTGATACGGGGGATTCCGCTCCCATTCAGCAAAATCCGTTCCGATTGAGTCCGGCAGAGAAGGAACATGTCCGGTTGGCAGTGAATGACATGCTTGCCGCAGACATTGTGGCTCCCTCCAACAGCCCATGGGGTGCGCCCATTGTGCTTGTTAAAAAACATGATGGCAGTTTGAGGTTTTGTGTGGATTTTCGAAAGCTTAACAAGGTTTCGCTGGCGGACGCGTATCCGCTCCCTCGCATGGACGAGTCGCTCGATGCCTTGGCGGGGGCACGGTATTTTTCAACCTTGGACCTTTTGTTGGGGTTTTGGCAACTGCCCTTGGATGACGCTTCCAAACCTAAGACCGCGTTCCGTACGCCACAGGGCCTTTATCAGTTCAACCGGTTGCCCATGGGATTGCACTCAGCTCCAGCGACGTTCCAGAGATTGATGGAACTGGTCCTCGCTGGCCTGCAGTGGGACTCTTGTCTTATATATCTGGACGACGTGATTATTTTCAGTCGTACGTTTGAGGAACATATGGACAGACTGCGGGCTGTATTTCTCAGAGTGCGATCAGCTAACCTTAAATTTAAGCCTCAGAAATGTTTCCTGTTGCGTGAATCGGTGCGGTACCTCGGCCACGTTGTCAGTTCTACGGGTATAGCCACCGATCCTGCTAAAACTGACTGTGTAAGAACGTGGCCCACGCCCACGTCTGTGGGGGAAGTCCGCAGCTTTATAGGCTTTGCGTCCTATTACCGCCGGTTTGTTGAGGGGTTTGCGACGATCGCCAAACCCCTTCATGTTCTGACGGCTAAGGGGGCTAAATTCCATTGGGGGGAAGAGGAAGACAGGGCGTTCAGGGCGCTTCGCGATGCCCTTGTCCGAGCTCCTCCCTTATGCTATCCCGATTTCACGTTGCCCTTCATCCTGGACACCGATGCCAGCAATACCGGCATCGGCGCGGTGCTTTCGCAGGTTGTCAACGGGGTCGAACGGGTCGTTGCCTACGGCAGTAGAGTCCTGTCTCTGGCAGAACAATGTTATTGCGTCACCCGCCGTGAACTGCTCGCTATTGTCGTGTTTGTTCAACAATATCGACCGTACCTGTACGGTAGGCATTTTACGATTCGTTCCGATCATGCCGCGCTACAGTATGCGTTGAAAATAGACCAGCCGTCCGGCCAGCTGTCACGTTGGCTTGAGGTCCTACAGGACGACACGTTCACGGTGGTGTACCGGAAGGGGACACAACATTTAAACGCGGATGGCTTGTCACGCCTTCCTCCGGGTGATGGGTGCGCGTGTTTTATGGGCTCGGGGAGATGCAAATCGGCCACGAGTACCGCTCCGGCTTCTCCCTTGGCAGCGGCAGCAGGGGTGGTCGATAGGGAACCTGTCGCCGAGGGGGACTCGCAGGTGTTGGTCGCTCGCGACTCGCTCCTCGATCTGCCTCTGGACGAATGGGGACGGTTCAAGATGGAAGACAATTCCCTCCTCAGGTTACGCCGTCGTGCGGAGAGAGGGGGAGATTGTCAGGAAAGGGTAGGTACTGTCAGGTTGCGGGAGGGTCTCCTCATGTCATGGGACGCCAGCTCGGGGCATTACAGAATCGTCGTACCCACCGCTCTGCGGGGCAGGGCCGTGTGGGCGGCGCACGAACGCATCCTGCATTTGGGTATTCACAAAACGCTCGCTACACTGCAATTGGATTTTTTTTGGCCGGGAATGGCGCGCGATGTCGCCGACCTTTTGAATAGTTGCACGCAGTGTGCGCGGCGGAAACACCCGGCTAGGGCGGCTTGCCCACCCCTTCAGTCCATTCAGGTGTCCCGGGTTAATGAGTTGGTGGCTCTTGACATTCTGGGTCCCTTCCCTGTCACCGCTCGGGGAAATAAGTACCTGCTGGTTGGGGTTGAATATTTCACCCGTTGGCCTATGGCCTGGCCCCTCCCCAACCAGTCGGCGGCAGCCATTGCGGAGGCGTTCCTCCAGGGCTACGTCCTGGATAAGGGCGCCCCGGAACGGCTGCTAACCGACCAGGGAAAGAACTTTTCGTCCAATCTTCTGCGGGAGGTTTGTGACCTTTTGTGCACACAGAAGGTCCGGACTTCCCCCTACCACCCGCAGACCGATGGTATGGTCGAACGTCTACACCGGACCATTACCTCTATGTTGTGTCATCAGGTAGACGACACACAGTTGGATTGGGACTTGAAGATTCCCGGAGTTCTGGCCGCATATAGGTTGGCGCCTAACGCGGCCACGGGCTATTCGCCCTTCTACTTAATGTACGGCAGGGATGTCGACCCCCCCATGGAGGTGCAATTGCGGGTCCAGTCTGCGGCTTCTCGCTCGAAACTGTCCGAACACGCTCAGTTCAATATTCGGAAGTTGGTTGAGGCGAGGGTGGCTGCGCAGGAAAATTCCAGGGCAAGGCAACGGGCCAATGAGCGTCTGTATGATCGCCGGGTTACGGTGTATAAATGGGCGGTAGGGGATAAGGCGTGGCTGCACTGCCCGCAGGTGCCGCTGTCAACGTCATCGAAATTGCTGCGGCCCTGGCGGGGGCCGGTCGACATTGTTCGGGTCGGACCAGTGTGTTAGGGTCGCGTGCGGACGGCGTTCTTGGTACGTGCACCCCTCGCGCCTGAAGCCCTATGTCGCACCACGCACTCACACACCTTCATCTCGCAGGGGCCGGCCGCGTGACGTGTCCGGCAGGTTGGGGGAGGGGCCTCGTGACCCCCTTGTTGTTCCAAAACCCCCTGCCACTCTTTCGGATGCTGCAGGTGAGTCCACCTAGGGTGGTCTCGCCAGAGGAGCGGGAAGCGAGCCGGCCGCCTGTCCAGCAGGAAGACGGCTCGCGGGCTTTGTCCCCGGGGCCTCGAAACGTGCCGGACGCCCGTCATCTGGCCCCTCCTGACCCTCCGCAAGGAACGCTGGCTTCTGGCGATGGACCCGCCACACGGACTCGTTCGAAGGGTCTCAGGTTCTCCTGAGACCTGTCGCAGATACACTGCCTCCTCGCGGGGCCTGGGTGTTCGAGTCACCTTGTTCGTTGGTGTGGTGTGTCCGCGGTGTTCTTGTGTACAGGGGGGTTGGGGTAAATTATCGGGGATAGTTGTGTTTGTTGTTGTTCTGTTGTTGTTATTGTTGTGTTGAGGCTCACGCATTGTTCTTGTCGTGTTCAGAATTTCTGGTTCGCGAGTTAGGGTTGGGATGTGGATAATGATGCAGCCGGGACGGCTGCGTGCTGTATAGGGGGGGGGTGATGTGGTGGTCAAGGTTGACACCAAGGTTGACACAGGTCACACAGGTCACACAAGCTAGGGGAGAGGTACGTACCGGTCTGGACCGGTCCGGACCGGCAGGGACGAGAGGTGGTTGAAACCGCTCTGAGGGGAGGGGGCTGGGAGAGCCGGGGCCCCGAGACACCCCCGCCCCTCAGGGAGAGGGGATATAAGACGGCTCCCGGAGAGCGGAGGGGTCGATCTCACGAGAAGCTGAAGGAGGTGCGGCCGGAGATCCTGGACCCCCAAGCCTCGAGGATGCCGCCCCGCTGGAACTGAGTGGGCTGAGTAGCTGTAGGCTAGGGGAGGAGAGTAGCTGAGTAGCTGTAGGCTAGGGGAGGAGAGTAGCTGAGTAGCTGTAGGCTAGGGGAGGAGAGTAGCTGAGTAGCTGTAGGCTAGGGGAGGAGAGTAGCTGAGTAGCTGTAGGCTAGGGAAGGAGAGTAATGAGAATTGAGCCGGAGGCTGTACCTCCCTAGGTTGTGTGGTTGGACTGTTCCCCCAGTGAGTCCGGAGGACTAGTGTTATTGGAATAAAAGCGTGTGGCCTCTACGAAGTCTCGGTCTCATTCAAGAATACTACACAGGGATTGAACCTGGCCCCCTTTCCCACTGAGCCACGTTGCCGGGGGGTTCATCGCTTACTGCTCGTTAACCGTTGGTTCTTCACGGGCGATCATATTTAAATATTTTGACTTGAAGAGGATTGGTCATTCGTTTGCCGCACACGACGATTGTGCGTGTATGCGCCATGTGCTGACGCATCGCGAGAATCGTCATTTGAGAATTAATTTACAAACTGTAACTCGATGTCGGGATGTTCAAATGTAGTAACTTCGTGTTCATTGTAAAAAAAATTTGTTTTATCATTTCCACCGCCCTCTGCGGGACATCGATTGCTCAAACCCAAAAGCGAGATAGACACAGACAAGGAGACAGAGAGAGAGACGGAGAAACAGAGAGAGAGTTGGAGACGGAGAGACATGGGGAAAGAGATGAGGAGAACTACAGAGAGACAGACAGAGAGACACAGAGAGACAGACACAGAGAGAGAGACAGACACAGAGAGACACAGAGAGAGAGACACAGAGAGACAGAGAGAGACATGCACACAGAGAGACAGAGAGAGACAGAGAGAGACACAGAGAGACACAGAGACACCGAGAGACAGAGAGATACATGGCCACACAGAAAGATAGAGAGAGACATGGGGAGAGAGACAGAGAGATACATGGCCACACAGAAAGATAGATAGAGGCATGGGGAAAGAGACAGGGAGATATCCACATAGAGACACAGAGTTAAAGAGCGACGATGTTAATGATGTTGATGATGGAGTTGACGCAAGGTAAATCAACACCCGTTCATAATAAAAATCATCCATCCACCACGACTGCTGCTGCTTGTTGCCAGCTCCTAGTGGTGCGATTCCGACCTTCTGCAGTCCGATCCAGAAATTGCCATTGGCCTGCGAGTGTGCCGATGCGAGTGGTTGGCGTTGACCACCCGGTCAGCCGATCCCTTGTGTAAGGCGTGTCTGACGAGGCACACGCTGGGATGGGAGGCACCACACTTTGTTCACTTGACAGCAACAGCTACGGCAAGGCTGTTCTACACTCCAACGACAGAGAGAGGGACGATGCTTCACGCCCGGAGCCTCAACACTCTCGGCTCCCACCGGCGTGACCGTGCACCAGGGTCGCAACCGGGTACCCGATACCCGTACCCTACCCGATACCCGTACCCTACCCGATACCCGTACCCTACCCGATACCCGTACCCTACCCGTACCCTACCCGATACCCGTACCCTACCCGATACCCGGCTACCCGTACCCAGCCGGGTACGGGTAGCCGGGTATCGGGTAGGGTATTTTTAGTGAGAATTGTACTTTATTATGTTTTATTTTTATTATTTTATTATTTCCCTTCTACGTGACTTTACTGAAAGAGCCAAGAAGATGAATCCCTGCAGTCACGAAAGCTTTAAATCGAAATAAAATAATATTATATTATTATATTATAGTATGATATTATTTAAATATATTATAACATGATTGTGTTATCATATTATATTATTTTATTATATAATTATTGTATAGTTGTATTTTTATTATTTTATTATTTCCCTTCTACGTGACTTTACTGAAAGAACTAAGAAGATGAATCCCTGCAGTCACGAAAGCTTTAAATCAAAATTTCTAATTTCGTTACTGCAGCTCCATGCTATTAACATTCCTTCCCTTTATTAATGCTAACCCTACTCCCTCCCTTTGATGCTGCTAATCCTGCATAATGCACGGGCATAATATGACTTTGAAACCCCCCGCCCACCTCCTACGCATTCCACAAGTAGTGACTAATCCCATATCTGCATTTCCCAAACATATGCTAAATTCCTCTTCATATGCAAATGATTTTGTCAAGGCGCTCTTCCCCCTCCAACCCAGCTTAAATATACGCTCCAAGCCTGGTGGTGTTTCATTCAGACGCTGTCTTTTCGACAGACCTGTTTTTCACCTGAGGACGGCTGCTTGCGTTGTGGCCGAAACGTCGTGAGAATTATTTAAATGTTTTATATTTATTATTTTATTATTTCCCTTCTACGTGACTTTACCGAAAGAATCAAGAAGAAGACTGTAAAGCAGTCTCATAAAACCTTCACGTGCAAACATCAAGGAAGTTTGAAGCAAGCGGTCATCTGGTTTGCAACGGTGTTTTTTTATTTTTCCTCTTTGGGGAGTAAGCATCGCTGAATACTTTCATGTCACTGCATTACAATTGCACGCAGGGTCTCTAACACACTATAGCTCGGAGCTAATGGGTTGAATTGAAATCGTTTTTTGTTGAAAATTAAAATGCTTGTTTTCTCATATGCAATGTTTAAATTATTAAGGAGATCGCACTTATCACTGAGAAACCAGGAGAGCAGTGGAGGAATTACGGGCACATGTTCTCGCTGGAAATTGCATCGGGGTCGGGATCGAACCCACAACCTCATGCGTACCAGGCGAGGTAGTCAACGTCTAGCCACCGTGACACAGATGGGCAAGTTGCGTGGAACTTGCTTTAGCGGTGCTCACAACAATTGGAAAAGCACCGGGCGGATAAAACGGTGGAATAACTAAACGTGGCGATGTTTACGGGAAAGGTGGTTCTGCAGAGAGGATGGAGATAGCGTTGCGATTGACGTATCTAGTTTACAAATCGCGCTTTACGCTCTTGACGCCCTAAAAACTTTGAAGCATGAAGAATTCTTACTTGAAATCGGCGTTCCCCCCCCCCTTTCAACTCATCAATAAATCAAATCAATGAAAGTGATGTCACCGTCTCATCTACCAGCGGCGGGCGTCGATAGACAATGCGACTGTTTGATTTCTTGAAACACGACACAACAATTTACGGAACAGTAAATATTTTTTTATTAGAAAACTAATTTGTCACCTCGAGCTGCTTAGCGGGGCGACGCCCCAACTCCCCCGTAGTGGGGACCAACCGCGACATGCAGGCAGCGGCGGTGGCCCCGAGGAGCTGGTTATAAAAAGAGCCTCAACTCGGCGCACAACTCAGACGCGTGGAGACGTGGGAACAGCAGCAGCAGCAGCAGCGGTAACAGCATCATCCAGCAGCAGCAGCGGAGAGAGCAGCTGACCAGGGACCGTGTAAGTCGTCGGCCCTGCCTCCACTACGGGCTGTGTGCTCCGTATAACGTCGATTCAAGAGCACGAAGAGATGATGTAATGCAGCGATACCCGCAATTGCCCCTACAGGCCGCCAGGTGTCACCCTGTCACTACACGAATTAAGAGATCAAAGAGGAGGCACGCGAACGACAAACAATCACGGGGAAGACGCAGATCGTCGGGGAAAAAATTAACCCGTAAAAACAAAGTTTTTCACTATAAATCCTTTATATGCGTGGCGGCTAGAGTCCTCTCGTCCTCTGGCTTGAGATGACTGCCACCTATGGGTCAGATGATTGCCTGGCACCATTAAGCAATTGGTAAATAAATAAAAATTCCTAAAAAGTGTAAAATCTTGGAAAAAAGTTTTCGCGAAAATAAATTGTCACGAACAACGAGTCTGTGTGCAAAATGTCAGCTCGATTGGATCACGGGAAGTGGGTTAAAAAAACGACCGAAAGATTTGCACGGTCGTAAGCGCGCAAGCAAGCGAGCGAGTGAACTTAATATAAAGGATTTAAAAAATCAAAAGTGTTAAAACCGACGGGGGAGCGAGCGTTGAACGCCGTGAGAAAAACCCCAACGAGACACGAGAGACAAACGTTGAGATCCCGAGCGGAGGAGGCCGTGCCAGCGAACACGACTAAGACGCAGTGGGAGGAGGTGGTGGAAGAATCGGCATTGTCGTCGGCGTTGAGAAGTCACCGCGGAGTGTGGAGGCCACCGCCACCGCGGACGAGAAACTGTGCGGGGGGAGAGGAGGCAGAGCGAGGTGACGGTTAAACACCCGTCACCGGGCAGAGGCCTCGTTGGGGCCGTGAGAAGTGCCAAAGTGATCTTCTTGGTTCTTTCGGTAAAGTCATCACGTAGAAGGGAAATAATAAAATAATAAAAATAAAATAATTCTCACGACGTTTCGGCCACAACGCAAGCAGCCATCCTCAGGTGGAGACCAGGTCTGTCGGGGAGACGGCTGCTTGCGTTGTGGCCGAAACGTCGTGATAATTATTTTATTATGATTTATTTATTATTATTTTATTACTTCCATTCTACGTGACTTTACCGAAAAAACCAAGAAGATGAATCCCTGCAGTCACGAAAGAAGCTTTAAATCTAAAGGCCAAAGTGGCCGTGACGTTTGTACCGCTCGCCTCTCGTTCTGTGTTTTTATTTCACCGGGAAAGGCCCCCGCCAGAGCTGCTGTTCGACGCTTTTTTCAGAAGTGTCCCGGCCACCGCAAACGACAGCTCGACAAAGCGGTTGTTGTCATCATCATCATCACGTCTCCCCAGTGCTAGCGATGTTCACTACACACCGCACCGGGTACTCATTTGAGGCCGAGCCGACCTAGGGGAGGCCCAGGACCGGTTCAGAAAATCGTCAGGAAGAGGGGCCTCCGGCACAAGCTTATTCAATACAATTTTCATTCGTGATTTTGTCGTGATTTATTGAAGGTGGAGGGGTTACCAGCCCCTCGTACCCATCCAGAGCCCCCATTAAGTGGCGGTGACGTCACCACGACGCTTGTGCCAGGCCATGTGCACCTTGAGGCCACGTGAAGTGTCGAGCGCCCGCTGGCAGGAGGTCACGGGGCAGACCCAGCAGGTGCCACGGGTCGACTAACTGAGATGACCGAGACGACTGGCTGATGCACCACCTTTGCCCCCTACTGTACCAACTTGCTGTGCTTTAGCCACCCGGTGCTCACACACACGCACACACAGACACACGCACACACAGACAAAGATAAAAGACAAAGATCCCCCGTATAGCCTTAACAGACTGTAGAGGCAAGTGCTGTTAGCGAGCACCTATGAAGGCCGGAACGGTACACGAGGGGGTGGGTGGCCAGCACCACGCCCGACCGCCTTTGTCTCCCTAGTGGCGATGTTTACACACCGCACCAGGTACTCATTTGAGGCTGAGTCGACCTAGGAGAGGCCCAGGACCGGTTCAGATAATCGTCACTGGTGTTGGCCGTGAGCGGGAATCGAACCCGGGTCGCTAGGTTCATAGCGCAGCGCGCTAACCGCTACATTACCGCTCTCCAACATACACACGCACACACACAGACACACGCACACATACAGACACACACACAGACACACGCACAGACACGCACACACGCACACACAGACACACGCACACACGCACACAGACACACACACACACAGACACACGCACACACACGCACACACAGACACACGCACACACAGACACACGCACACAGACACACACACACAGACACACACACAGACACACACACACACACGCACACAGACGCACCTGGCCGTGCTGGGCGGGGCGTCGGTGATGGTGGTGACGAGCTGGCTGAACGAGGGTCGACAGGAGCTCTCCGCGTGCCAGCAGCTCAGCATGAGGCGGCGGAGACACATGGGACATCCCATGGGACGTGGCAGTCGCCAGCCACCTTCCACTGCCTCCATCACCTGGGGGGCACACAGAGACCCATAGACTACTCATAGAGACCCATAGACTACTCACACAGAGACCCATAGACTACTCATAGAGACCCACAGACTCACACAGAGAGACCCACAGCCGCACACAGAGACCACACACACACACACACAGACCCACAGACTCACACAGAGACCCATAGACTACTCACACACAGAAACCCACAGACTCACCACACAGAGACCCACAGACACACACATAGAGACCCACAGACTCACCACTCAGAGACCCACAGACTACTCACACAGAGACCCATAGACTCACCACACAGAGACCCACAGACTCACACAGAGACCCACAGACTCACACAGAGACCCACAGACTCACAACACAGAGACCCACAGACTCACCACACAGAGACCCACAGACTCACAACACAGAGACCCACAGACTCACCACACAGAGACCCACAGACTCACACAGAGACCCACAGACACACCACACAGAGACCCACAGACTCACAACACAGACACACACACAGACTCACACTACAGGGCTGCTGGTGCTGAACTCACGTCCCGGTTGCTCATGTCCCAGTATGGCCGCTCGCCGTGTGTCATCACCTCCCACATGACGACGCCGTAGCTCCACACGTCGCTTGCCGACGTGAACCTGAGCTGGGAAATCGCCTCCGGGGCGGTCCAGCGGATGGGGATCTTCCCCCCCTGGGGAACATTCAAAATTTGATTTCGCCCTCGGCTTTCGCGGCCGATGTCGTCAGTACGCGATGAAGGGTTTAGTATTAGGTTTTACTGGTAGGAACGAAGTGAACCAGCCTACAATAGATAATATCGTCCGTCCGATGGTCGATTAGGTGTTGCAACATCGCCCCCTACTGCAAACACTTGGCAGGACCCTACAAAAACCTTTAGACTCAGTGAGGCTTTCCTGGCTAAACAAGTGTAACATTCCCTTATAATTCCCTGAGATAGCTTTTAATTAAAACATTTAAATTACAAATTAACTCACAGCGGCCTAATTCCCTGAGATAGCTTTTAATTAAAACATTTAAATTACAAATTAACTCACAGCGGCCTAAAGCCTACAAGCTCGGCCTAAAGCCTAGAACTAGGCCTCAAACTCTCCCTTCGTATCGTACCCCCGCGTGTGTGAAAGGGAGTTAATGTTTAACAATGTTACATTCCCTCATGTTTTGAAATAGAAACATTTACATTTAAAGCTTTTACATTAATAATTAAAACATTTTAATTAAAAATTAACTCACAGCGGCCTAAAGCCTACAGCTAGGCCTAAAGCCTAGAACTAGGCCTCAAACTCTCCCTTCATATCGTATTTATTCGTTCCTACCAGCCCACCCCGCAGGGACCTGTTTACCCTTTCAACTGGTACAAAACTGACACCTTTATACAAGGCATCATGTTTGCAATAACCACAACACAAGCAGTCAAAATGCAAACAAAAAGAAAGAACTCTGATAATGGTAATGATATGCACTGTCCTCGAAGCTGATTGGTCCACACCCGAGACAGCTTTTCTTAGAGCCTAGTCTCACGTGGTGTTGGACCAGATGACGCCAAAAGGCGCACAACTCAAAGACAGTGCACTATCAGAGTATTGAGAGCTGGGCGTAACCATTTACACTATGAGACATCTCCTATATCAGTGGCGAAATATAGTAGTAGGTTTTTACCCTTTAAACTGGTACAAAACTGACATCTTTCTCCCCCCACCTTTACCCGGGTGGTGTACACCGCGTCGGAGTGGTCGTCCGGCAGAAGCATCCGCGAGAGTCCGAAGTCGGACACCTTGCACGTGAGCTCGCCGCTCACGAGCACGTTGCGGGCGGCCAGGTCCCGGTGCACGTAGCCCACGCGGGACAGGTGCCGCATGCCGCACGCCACGTCCCGCAGCATCCCCACCAGCTGGGGCAACAGCAAGTGGCCCTTCTTCTTCTACGCCGTGGTCCAGGCCAGAGGGGGGGAGGGGGAGGAGGGAGAGGGGGGGGGCAAGAGAGGTGGAGAGGGAGGAGAGGGAAGAGGGAGGGTAGGAGAGGGGGGAGAGGGAGGAGAGGGAGGGGGAGAGGGGGGAGAGGGGGAGAGGGGGGAGAGGGAGGGGGAGAGGAGGGAGAGGGGGGAGTAGAGGGAGAGGGGGGAGAGGGGGGAGAGGGGGAAGAGGAGGGAGAGGGGGGAGAGGGGGGAGAGGGGAAGAGGGAGGAGGAGAGGGTAGGAGAGGGGGGAGGGAGAGGGGGGAGAAGGGGGAGAGGGGGGAGAAGGGGGAGAGGGGGGAGAGAGGAGGGAGAGGGAGGAGAGGGAGGAGGAGAGGGGGGAGAGGAGGGAGGGGAGGAGAGAGGGGGGAGAGGGAGGGGGGAGGGGAGGAGAAGAGAGGGGGGAGAAGGAAGGAAGAGGAGGGAGGGGGGGAGGAGGCGATGAGGAGGAGGCGCCTGGGTGACGTTGCTGCTTGTGCGGCCGTCTGGAACGCTCTTCCAGGAGCTGCGAGGTGCTTTTACGTCATCGTTATCGTCACCGTCGAGTTTGACAAACTAATTTGTTTAGAACTGCCGCTTGTTGTGTTTGGTTTGCCCCCCGCCCCAGCGCCAGTTGGCTACGTAAGGTGCAAAGGAAGTTTGATGCACACGCGTGCAGTCATCACCGCAAGCGGAGCCCCGGTTAGTAGGAACTACGGCACACAACAACAACAACACAACAACAACAACAACACAACAACACAACAACACAACACAACAACACAACAACAACACAACAACACAACAACAACAACAACGCCACCGTTTGCTCTTCATGTGTGGACAGTTACAGACACAACCGCTGAGTGTTGTGAGGCTGCAACGCACCGATGATCGCATCACTTGGCATTGCCACTTCTTACCCTGAGGAACACATCCAAGGAATGGTTTTCCATGAATTCGGTGATGATCATGACGGGTTTACCTTCGTCGAGAGGGCAAGAAAAGCAGACGTTAGCAATCCACGCAAAGCATTCACGACTAATACCGCAACATCATCACAGGGTCACATACGCACCTTGTATTGCTGCCAAGATGCATCGCTGTGTTTTCATAAACACGAACTTTCAGAGGTACGAACAAACCTGTTCGTACGTCCGGTTGCCCGTTGTGAACCGAGAGTTGTAAGTTCAACCACCACACGCAATAGATGATGGTGGTGGCATCTACATCTGCAGAGCGTGAAGAACCAGTGGCATCTACATCTGCAGAACGTGAAGAACCAGTGGCATCTACATCTACAGAACGTGAAGAACCAGTGGCATCTACATCTGCAGACCGTGAAGAACCAGTGGCATCTACATCTGCAGAACGTGAAGAACCAGTGGCATCTACATCTGCAGAACGTGAAGAACCAGTGGCATCTACATCTGCAGACCGTGAAGAACCAGTGGCATCTACATCTACAGAACGTGAAGAACCAGTGGCATCTACATCTGCAGAACGTGAAGAACCAGTGGCATCTACATCTATAGAACATGAAGAACCAGTGGCATCTACATCTGCAGAACGTGAAGAACCAGTGGCATCTACATCTACAGAACGTGAAGAACCAGTGGCATCTACATCTGCAGAACGTGAAGAACCAGTGGCATCTACATCTACAGAACGTGAAGAACCAGTGGCATCTACATCTACAGAATGTGAAGAAACAGGGACATCTACATCTGCAGAATGTGAAGAACCAGTGGCATCTACATCTGCAGAACGTGAAGAACCAGTGGCATCTGCATCTGCAGAACGTGAAAATCCAGTAGTGTAATGTGCAGTGTGTATAGTGTAGTGTATAGTGTAGTGTATAGTAGTGTAGTGTATAGTGTAGTGTATAGTGTAGTGTATAGTGTAGTGTATAGTAGTGTATAGTGTAGTGTATAGTAGTGTATAGTGTAGTGTAATGTGCAGTGTGTATAGTGTAGTGTATAGTGTAGTGTATAGTGTAGTGTATAATGTAGTGTATAGTGTAGTGTATAGTGTAGTGTATAGTAGTGTATAGTGTATAGTGTAGTATAGAGTAGTGTAGTGTATAGTGTAGTGTAATGTGCAGTGTGTATAGTGTAGTGTATAGTGTATAGTGTAGTATAGAGTAGTGTAGTGTATAGTGTAGTGTAATGTGCAGTGTGTATAGTGTAGTATACAAGTACACCACACCGGTGTGTTGGAGAGCAAATCCACAACATTTCCCATCCGAGTACGGTGACGTTTCACCGGTGATGACAACAACGGGCTTCACCAGCCGCACAGCCAGCGACGTAACAGACTCGCCGCCGGTGTGACTTTGTTTAAACTGCGTAGAAGGGACGTTCTCTGCAGCAGCTCACTCTTGGTGACGACGCCCTCCAGGCGGACGATGTTGCGATGGTCGAACTGGCCCATGACGCTCGCCTCGCACAGGAAGTCTTGCTGCTGCTGCTCGTTGGATCTGCCCTTCAGCGTCTTGACGGCCACGCTCACCGTCGCTGCCCCTCCGCTGCTGCCCTCACGCTTCAGGTATCCGATGCGCACCTTGCCAAACTCTCCTGCGGGCCAAGGGGTCGGTGGCAGTGGGTAGCACAAAGTAAAAAAAAAGTTAGAGCCCGCGTGTTTATGTGGATGCAGCCCCGACGCATTGTCGAGGCTGGTGGTGCAGCGACAGAGTCAACCACGCCCGGCCGTCTTTGTCTCTCCCCCCCCAGCGCTGATGGATCTGTACACACTGCACCAATCAGTGCTCACTTGTCAGGCTGGGTTGACCTCGGTTCAAGTTGCATGTATTAGGTGTGGCCCTGTGAGCCATTCGGCTCTTGAATCGGGTGCAACCGCAACAAACAAAGAACAAAAACGTGAACAAGAAAACATCTTAAAGTGACTAAGTGCAAACAGGTCCACACCCGAGACAGCTTTCCTTAGAGCCTAGTCTCACATGGGTGTGGACCAATCAACTTCAAGGACAGTGCTTACATTATCAGAGTTGTGTTTTTTGTTTGCATTATGGCTGCAGGTATTGTGGTCTATGCAAACATGACTCCTTGTAAAAAAGGTGTCAGTTTTGTTGCCAGATAGAAGGGTAAAACACAATTATCATATTTTTTACTGGCAAATGAGGTTCCAATGGTGTAAATGTGACGTTAATAGCTTCCAAAAGCCAAACAGTTTCTCCCGCTCGTCCGCCATTGTTGTCAACGTGCACCAGGCGGTCTCCAGAGCCCTGGAGGCACAAACATTTCTCGCAAATTCTCAGCGGCGGTGTCAACATTCTTTTGAAGTGTGAGTAAGTTTTAGTTGACGGTACAGACGTGTCTACCCCCCCCCCCCCCCCCCGTTCACCTGCTCCGATGACCTGTCCGAGTTTGATTCGCGAAGCATCGATTTCCTTGGCGAACTCGCGGAGAGCGTCACTGGGCAGGTCGTAGTCGTGTGGGTCGATGTACAGCCTGAAACCCGGCATCTTCACTGTGGGGGGCAACGGCGAGATTAACCGGGCACGGCGGTGTGAGAGTGTGTGTGTGTGAGGGGTGGTGTGTGAGGGGTGGTGTGTGTGTGTGAGTGTGTGAGGGGTGGTGTGTGTGTGTGTATGAGGGGTGGTGTGTGAGGGGTGGTGTGTGTGTGTGTGAGTGTATGTGTATGTATGTGTGTATGTATGTGTATGAGTGTGTTGAGTGTGTGTGTGTGTATGTGTAAGTGTGTATGTATGTGTAAGTGTGTATATATGTATGTGAGTGTGTGTATGCATGTATGTGTGTATGTATGTGTGTGTGTTGAGTGTGTGTATGTATGTGTGTATGTATGTGTGTATGTGTGTATGTGTGTGTGTATGTATGTATGTGTGTATGTGTGTGTGTATGTGTATGTATGTGTATATATGTGTATGTGTGTATGTGTGTGTGTTGAGTGTGTGTATGTGTGTATGTGTGTATGTATGTGTGTATGTATGTGTGTGTATGTATGTGTGTATGTGTGTGTGTTGAGTGTGTGTATGTGTGTGTGTGTATGTATATATATGTATGTATATGTGTAAGTGTGTATGTATGTGTTGAGTGTGTGTTGAGTGTGTGAGGTGGAGGAGCGTTCACCCCGCACGCTGTAGAAGCGAGGTCGCGTCTCTTGGGGAGACTCCCACTTTGTCCAGCAGTGACCGCACCTCCTTCAGACACAAGGCGACGCACAAAGCAGCAGCAGCAGCAACAGTAGCAACAGCATCAGTAGCAGCAGTAGCAGCAGTAGCAACAACAGCAGCAGCAGTAGCAGCAGCAGTAGCAACAGCATCAGCAGCAGCAGTAGCAGCAGTAGCAACAACAGCAGCAGCAGTAGCAGCAGCAACAACAGCAGCAGCAGCAGTAGCAACAACAGCAGCAGCAGCAGACATCAACGCCGCGTGAGTCGTGAAGAAGCGAGTTTCGCTCTGGAGATGATCAACACGGAGGGGCATTGCCTCTCTGTGCAGCCAAACCACGTGGGCACACTCACAGCGCACACAACGCCTGTGTGTGACCCCCCAGTGACCCCCCCCCCAGTGCCCCCCCCCCCCCACCTCTTCTTGACGATGATGAAAGAAGCAGCGATGAGCAGCAGACCCGCGAGGAGAGCGGACACCGAGGCGGCCCAGATGACCACCTCCTGCGTCAATTTCGCTGGGGGGAGGGGCGAGCAAATACATCCTTTCATTACAGGGAAAAACAACCACAACGACAATAACCACAAACACAACAACAAACAACAGAGCAACACCTACAACAACAACCACAACAACCACAACAGACAGGAGGGGTGGGGTGGTGGTGGGGTAGTGGTAGGTTGGTAGTGGGGTTGGTGGTGGCGTAGTGGTTGAGTGGTGGTGGTGGTGGTGGGGTTGGATGTTGGGGTGGGTGGGTGGGGGTGAGGGTGGTGGTGGTGGGTGGGTGGGGGTGAGGGTGGTGGTGGGGTTGGTGCTGGTTGGTGGTGGTGGTGGGGTGGTGGTGGTGGTTGGTGGTGGTGGTGGTGGTGGGTGGGTGGGTGGGGGTGAGGGTTGTGGAGGGGTTGGTGGTGGGTGGTGGTGGTGGGTGGTGCTGGTGGGGGTCAGGGTGGTTGGTGGTTGGTGCTGGTTGATGCTGGTTGATGCTGGTTGTTGGTGATGGTGGGTGGGTGGGTGGTTGGTGCTGGTTGGTGGTGGTGGTGTGGTGGTGGTGGTGCTGGTTGATGCTGGTTGATGCTGGTTGGTGGTGGTGGTGGGTGGGTGGGTGGTTGGTGGTGGTGGGTTGGTGGTGTTGGTGGTGGTGGGTGGTTGGTGGTGGTGGGTGGGTGGGTGGTTGGTGGTGGTGGGTGGTGGTGTTGGTGGGTGGGTGGTGGTGGTGGTTGGTGGTTGGTGCTGGTTGATGCTGGTTGATGCTGGTTGGTGGTGGTGGTGGTGGGTGGGTGGGTGGTGGTGGTGGGTTGGTGGTGGTGGTGGTGGTGGTGGTGGTGGTGGGTGGGGGTGTGGGTAGTGGGTGCTGGTGGTGGTTGGTGGTGCTACTCACGTTCGCGAGACGTGTGGAAGTAGAGTGTGGGGCTGTAGTCCCCGTAGCCGGCGGCGTTGCGAGCGCGAACCCGCAGCGAGTAGCCCGCCGCACGGCGGAGCCCCCCCACCGTCACACGCGGCTCGCTGCAGAGCAGCCGCATCAACTCAGCCTCGTCAGTGTCAGTGTCGTCAGCCTCGTCAGTGTCAGCGTCGTCATCATCGTCATCCTGGTGGGAGGGGGGGGGGACAGATGGGGGCGGGGTACAGATGGGGGGAGGGTGCAGATGGGGGGGGGGACAGATGGGGGGGGGACAGATGGGGGCGGGGTACAGATGGGGGGGACAGATGGGGGCGGGGTACAGATGGGGGGAGGGTGCAGATGGGGGGGGGGACAGATGGGGGGGGGGACAGATGGGGGGGGACAGATGGGGGGGGACAGATGGGGGGGGACAGATGGGGGCGGGGTACAGATGGGGGGGACAGATGGGGGCGGGGTACAGATGGGGGGGACAGATGGGGGCGGGGTACAGATGGGGGGAGGGTGCAGATGGGGGGGGGGACAGATGGGGGGGACAGATGGGGGCGGGGTACAGATGGGGGGAGGGTGCAGATGGGGGGGGGGGACAGATGGGGGGGGGACAGATGGGGGGGGACAGATGGGGGGGGGTACAGATGGGGGGAGGGTGCAGATGGGGGGGACAGATGGGGGGGGGCAGATGGGGGAGTACAGATGGGGGGGGTACAGATGGGGGGGTACAGATGGGGGGGTGCAGATGGGGGGGGGGGTGGGTTCAGACTCATCCCACAGAGACCCATTGAACTCTGGTCACTTGGTTCACGGGATGATGATGTTGTTGTGTCAACTCTGCTGCCCTCCACTTGCTAATGCAAAGACAAAGATCCCCCGTGTAGTGTCAGCAGACTGTAGGGGCAAGTGCTTTTAGCGAGTAGCACCTACGAAGGCCGGCACGGCACACGAGGGGGGTGGGTGGCCAGCACCACGCCCGGCCGCCTTTGTCTCCCTAGTGGCACAATGTTTACACACCGTACCGGGAACTCATTTGAGGCTGAATCGACTTAGGGGAGACCCAGGACTCGTTGAGATAATCGTAGCCGTTAGCGGGAATCGAACACACGGACACACGCGCACGGACACACGCGTGTACATTCATACGCACGCAAGTAAAATCGACAATTGTACCTCTTCGTAGCACGTGACTTCGTAGTCCAGAATGAAGCCGTTGGGCTGCTCTGGCTCGAGCCAGGTCACCAGGACGGAGTCTTCCGAGACGATCCCCGCCTGGACACGCACCACGGGGGACGGGGCTGCGGGCACATCCAGGACCTGATCACGTGGTACCTCGTTCGCTTGCCCGCAGGCCTCATACACACAGACACACATACACACATACACTCACATACACACACAGATACATTCATACACACACATACATACACACACATACACACACACACATACACACATACACACACATACACACATACATACACACATACATACACACATACATACACACATACATACATATACATACATACACATACACACATACATACACACATACACACACACACATACACACACACATACATACACATAATACATATACACACACATACATACACATACACACACATACACACACACATATACACACATACACATACACACACATACACACATACACACACACATACACACATACACACACACACATACACACACATACACACACACACATACACACACACACTACACACACATACAACAACAACAACCGCCATTCGCCACTAAGTGGCGGTGACGTCACCACGACGCTTGTGCCAGGCCAAGTGCACCTTGAGGCCACGTGAAGTGTCGAACGCCCGCTGGCAGGAGGTCACGGGGCAGACCCAGCAGGTGCCACGGGTCGACTGACCGAGATGACCGAGATGACTGGCTGATGCACCACCTTTGCCCCCTACTGTACCAACTTGCTGTGCTTTAGCCACCCGGCGCTCCGCTCGTGGTTGTGAGCGTCGCTCCTCCGCCCTCCGTTGTTGTTGTAGGGCGACTGCCTCCAACTGCCCAGTAGCGTCCTTCACGAGCCTCCTCCACTGAGGCCGATCTTGACACCGCTGGTACCAGTCATCGGCAAGTCCACTCAGCTCCACGTCCTCCTGTACCACATCACTCCATCTCTTCTCCAGCCCGTGCCGCGCCCGTTTAGCCCCCTCGATCCGGCCGAACAAAAGCTGTTTAGGCATGCGGTGGATGGGCATGCCGGCTACATGACCCAGCCAACGCAGCCTTGCCTGCCGGAGGAGCTCACCGATGGGACTTTGCCCAGATCTTTCAAGGATTTGTGAGCTCCTCACACAATCCAGCCTGGTTAAACCCAGGATGGATCGTAGGCAGGCCAGCCTAAATGTTTCCAACCGGCGAAGATGCTCCATTAAGAGGGTCCACGTTTCACAAGCGTAGAGAAGGGAGGGAATGACCGTGGCTGAGAAGACCTGAAGCTTCGTGCGGAGCGACAGACCATGTAGCTTCCACACAGCGTTACGCAACCGATGAAAAGATATTGCCGCTCGACTGAATCGGAGTGAGACCTCTGCTGTTAAACTGGAGCCAGTCATAAGCACACTGCCCAGGTATGGGAAACTCTCCACTCTCTCCACAACTTCCCCATCACCGATTGGGAGTTGTGGGGGTGGAGTGTCCGATGGTACAAAATACCCAGGCAGGTGCTTAGTTTTGGTGGGGCTGATGGTAAGGCCCCATCTCTTATTGGCACGCTCCAGTCTCAGCAGCAGCGTCTCCAACTCCTCTTCTGAATGAGCAGCTATTACCAAATCATCGGCATACATAACGTGGTTGACCAAAAGGAAGCCTTCCCTTGATCGCACCCGGGCGTCGATCAGCCTCCCATTATATCTCTACCAAATGGAAATTCCCCTGGTACAGCTATTGAAGGCTTCACGAACTACGCAGTCGAAATAGATGTTAAATAATGTGGGAGCCAGAGGACATCCCTGTCGCACCCCAAGGTGTACAGGGAAAGGCTCCGACTCCCGGCCACGTAGTTTTACCCGGGCCCGCTCACCATCATGAAGGTCCTTAATGATCGTGAGCAGAGGGTCAGGGACTCCGAAAGCACGAAAAACAACCCAGAGCCCAGGCCTATTGATGGTATCATAGGCCTTGACCAGGTCAATAAAGCAGATATGTAGGTCTTGTTGGAATTCCCTACACCTCTGCTGTAGCAGACGGACAGAAAATATGGCATCTGTGCAGGACCGCCCTTTCCTGAAACCGCATTGGGGTTCCGCAAGCCTCTCCTCAGCGTGCCTAGCAAGGCGATGTTGAATAATCCTTGCCAGGACCTTTCCCGGCACACTGAGGAGTGAGATGCCCCTGTAGTTGTTACAGTCTGTGCGGTCCCCCTTCTTAAGGAGGGGGACCACCAGGGCATCCTTCCAATCCTGCGGTACCCGTCTAGCGGTCCAGACTGTTGTTATGATGTCATATAGGGCAGTCTGTGCACAAACGCCACCCTCCCTCAGCATTTCGCTTGGGAGATCATCTCTGCCCGGTGCCTTTCCTGGTCTCAGACTCCGGATCGCCTTAAGTACTTCCTCAACAGATGGCACCTCAGCCAGCCACTCACAGGGGGTGACCTCTTCTAATATTTGAGGCACGGCAGCGTCAGCAGGGTTATCCCCACTTTGTGCCATGATGTTTTCCTGGCTGAGAGATTTTCCCTCCCCCAGGACCTCACAGAAATGCTCAGCAAATCTGCAAACCTGTTCCTGGGGGTCGGAGATTGGATCACCGTTTTTTTCCCTAATGATGGTAATAGGTGTGGCGCTGCAGGTTACTTTTTTGATGGAATTAAATAGTGATTTGTGATCGCGGGCCACTGAGGCAGACTCCATCTCCTCAGCAAACCACGACCACCACCCATCCTTGCAGCGCCTTACGGCTCTCCGAACCTCCGAGCGAAGGCTGCGGTAAACCTCCTCATTCTCCGACGTGGGATGCTGTAGCCGATGAGAGTGGGCCTGTCGCTTTTTCTCAATTAACCTGAACACCTCCTCCGTCAGCCAGGGTTTCTGGGGAGGTCTGGACCGCGTACCCAAAGCAGCCATTGCAGCTGCATGAGTCACAGTCTTAAACCTCGCCCATTTACCCTCGACATCAGGTGGAGTGGGGGACGATGCCAACCCCAGCTGCAAGCGATGATGAAATTCTCGCTTGCAACTTACACACACACACATACACACACACACATACACACATACATACACACACACATACACACACACATACACACACATACATACACACATACACACACATACATACACATACATACACACACACATACACACTCACACACCACCCCTCATACATACACACACACACCACCTCTCATACACACACACCACCCCTCATACACATAGGAATCCCTGCAGTCACGAAAGCTTTAGATCAAAATGAAATAATATTATTATAATGTTATAGGCACGTTATATATTTCAAAAGGAGAATGTATTTTTAAAAAGTAGAAAAAAACATTTAAAAAAGAACAAAAAAATTATTTTACAAACGAGAATAAACATTTAAATATAAAAAAGAGAGAAAAAAACATTTAAAAAAGAACAAAAAATTTATTTTACAAAAGATAATAAACATTTAAAGATTAAAAAGAGAGAAAAAAACATTAAAAAAGAACAAAAAAATTATTTTACAAACGAGAATAAACATTTTAAGATTAAAAAGAGAGAGAAAACATTTAAAAAAGAACTAAAATATTATTTTACAAAAGATAATAAACATATAAAGATATAAAAAAGAGAGAAAAAACATTTAAAAAAAGAACAAAACATTTATTTTACAAAAGATAATAAACATTTAAAGATATAAAAAAGAGAGAAAAAACATTTAAAAAAGAACAAAAAAAATATTTTACAAAAGAGAATAAACATTTTAAGATTAAAAAGAGAGAGAAAACATTTAAAAAAGAACAAAAAAATTATTTTACAAAAGATAATAAACATATAAAGATATAAAAAAGAGAGAAAAAACATTCAAAAACGAACAAAAAATGTATTTTACGAAAGATAATAAACATATAAAGATATAAAAAAGAGAGAGAAAACATTTTAAAAAGAACCAAAAAAATATTTTAAAAAAGAAAATAAACATTTAAAGATATAAAAAGAGAGAGAAAACATTCAAAAAAGAACAAAAAAATAATTTTACAAACGAGAATAAACATTCAAAGATAAAAAACGAAAGAAAAAACATTAAAAAAGAACAAAAAAAAGCATTTTACAAACGAGAAAAAACATTTAAAGATAAAAAAACAGAGACAAAACAAGAAACATTCGCGTGAACGACAGAGAGGGGGGGGATCACTCACGCGCCACGGAGGTGCTGACGTTCACGGCGGCGAACAGCGACGGGCCTCCGCTGAGGCTGGACACTCCGTTGGTGGCGTGCACCTCCAGCGTGTAGGCGGCGTTCTCCTGCAGGCCGCTCACCTCCGCCCAGCAGCACGAGCCGTTGGGCAGCGGCGGCACCGGCGGAGGCCGGAACCTCACGGCCGCCCCGCATGGCGCCGGCTGCTGCTGCTGCTGCTCCTGCTGCTGCTGCTCCTGCCGGAGGCGGCGGTGGTGGCGGCGGCACTCGACGGAGTAGGCGAGGTCGGGGCGCCCGCCGGGAGCCGCCGGCGGGCGCCACCGGAGCATCAGCGAAGTGGGGGTGAGCGCCGTCCACGTGACGTCCGTGGGGGCAGACGGAGGCTCTGGGAGGGTGGGGGGGGGGGAGTTTATAGTGTAGTGATGTAGGTAGTGTATAGTGTAGTGTGTAGTGTAGTGTATAGTGTAGTGTATAGTGTAGTAGGTAGTGTGTAGTGTAGTGTATAGTGTAGTGTAGTAGGTAGTGTGTAGTGTAGTGTATAGTGTAGTGTAGTAGTGTAGTGTAGTGTGTAGTGTAGTGTGTAGTGTAGTGTAGTAGGTAGTGTATAGTGTAGTGTATTGTAGTGTATAGTGTAGTATTGTAGTGTATTGTAGTGTATGGTAGTGTATAGTGTAGTATGTAGTGTATAGTGTAGTACTGTAGTGTATAGTGTAGTACTGAGACCACCACGTACTTGCGCAGGCCACGGACTGGGCCTCGTCTCTGGGCCTGAAGTACCCGTCGTGGCAGGCGCAGGACGTGGCCCCGCCAGCGCTCCCCGCGCTGTGCGGCGGGCACGGGGAGCAGGAGCCGTCTCCCGCCGTCTCCTTGTACCAGCCCTGCTCACACGCTGCACGCACACAGAGCCACACGCAGCCCTGTAGCCTTCGCAGACTGTTGGTGCTGTCAGTAGCGAGAGATGGGGTGAGTGGGTGAGATGGGGTGGGTGAGAGGGTGGTTGGGTGAGTGGGTGGTTGGGTGAGTGAGAAAGTGGGTGAGTGGGTAGGTGAATAGGTATGTGGGTGGGTGGGTGGTTGGGTGAGTGAGTGAGTGAGAAAGTGAGTGGGTGGGTGAGTGGATGGTTGGGTGGGTCAGTGGGTGCGTGGGTGAGTGAGTGAGTGAGTGGGTGAGTGAGTGAGTGGGTGAGTCGGTGGGTGAGTGGGTGAGTGAGTGGTTGGGTGAGTGGGTGGGTGGGTGGGTGAGTGAGTGGGTGGGTGGGTGAGTGAGTGGTTGGGTGAGTGGGTGGGTTATGTGGGTGGGTGAGTGAGTGAGTAGGTGGGTGAGTGAGTGGATGGGTGAGTGAGTGGGTGGGTGGGTGAGTGGGTGGGTGGTTGGTTGGGTGAGTCAGTGGGTGAGTGGGTGAGTGAGTGGGTGAGTGAGTCGGTGGGTGAGTGAGTGAGTGAGTGAATGAGTGAGTGGGTGAGTGAGTGGATGGGTGAGTGAGTGAGTGAGTGGATGGGAGGGTGGTTGGGTCTTCCCAAATCTTTCTCGAGCGTAAGCAACCACAACAATAAATCTATTAAAACAACCCCAATGCGTCACCTCGGCAGGCATTCCCCGCCTGCTGGTACCCGGCATGGCAGACGCAGCTCCCGCTGAGGCTCGCCCACTCGCCGTCAGCGTCACAGAGCATCGCCGGGCCCGGCTCCCCCTGGGCCCGGAGCGAGTGGCCCACGCACGCCCCGGCCACCTCCGACAGCGCCCACCGCCCGTCGCCGGCGGCCGGCGCGTCGGGGAACACGGCGAGTCCGAGCGCCAGCGCCGGGCAGCGCCTGTGGAAGAGTCGCACGGACAGCAGCCGGGCGCAGGCCCCCGTGTCGCGGAACGCCAGGCGGAGGCCGCCCCGGGAGAGGGGCCCCACGTCGCACGACGCCGTGGTCTCCCCGACCTCCGACCTGTCCCAGCCGACCGAGTCGACCTTGGAGAAGAGCCGCCGCTCGTCGTCCGCGAAGACGCCGGCGGGGACGTCCCCGGCGTCGTCCGACTCCCGGTAGTAAACTTCCAGCGCGTCGCTGACGCAGCCGGTGCCGGCGGTGGTGGCGGTGGTGGCGGTGGTGGTGGAGGCCGGGAGGCCCCGGGGGCAGCGGCGACGGTAACGGAAGCGGACCTCGAGGAAGACGCGGAGAGCGTCGCCACGCGGGACCCAGTCGGTGCGCAGCCACTTGTCCTGGCGGGGCGCGGCGGGGCCGCACTGCGCCTGGTACAAGCACCGGGGGCCTTGGCCACTCGCGGGCTCCCACTGCCGTCGTGGTGAGGGGGGAGGGAGTGGGGGGGGTTGGGGGAGTGGGGGGGAGTGTGGGGGGGGGGAGTGTGGGGGGGGGGTGTGGGGGGTGTGCGGGAGTGTGGGGGGGAGTTGGGGAGGAGTGTTGGGGGGGAGTGTGGGGGGAGTGTGGGGGGGAGTGTGGGGGGGAGTGTTGGGGGGGAGTGTGGGGGGAGTGTGGGGGGGAGTGTGGGGGGGAGTGTGGGGGGTCAGTGTGGGGGGGAGTGTGGGGGGGAGTGTGGGGGGGCAGTGTGGGGGGGCAGTGTGGGGGGGTAGTGTGGGGGGGGGAGTGGGGGGGAGAGTGGGGGGAGTGGGGGGGGTGATATTTTTGTGAGTGGAATTGGAAGACGGTGAGTTTGAGGCGTGCTTATCATGAATCTGTATTTATTTAATCTTCACTTAAAGCTTTCGTGACTGCAGGAGTTGATATTATTGGGGTCTAAAGCATTATAACGTCAACCCTAACACTATAACAGCATTCCCGATATTATAAGAACATAAACGAACTGACAGACAATGCTTCTTCAAGTACCACAATGACCAGATTCACTGAGACCCTGAGTGTGCCTCCATTGTGTACTCTGTGTGACGGCTGACACCCCTTAACTTCCTGATCACGTGACCAAACTCAACACCATATCAGAAGTTGCTGTGTAAGCACGCCCCATATCCGCCGCGGGGCGGAACAATAAACACGGATTCTTTGGGGTCTTTCGGCAAAGTCACGTAGAACAAGTAAATGTACGAAAAAACTACAACGTTTTAATCGCGACGCAAGAAATCGCCATCAGGAGAAAAAAGATCGGGATAGCCGCTGAGGCAGGCTGTTTCAAAAGTTTCAAATGAGTGTAGCCCAAGGGTCAAGTGATAAATGTCCCTACAGAAGCGTTGTAGGAGAAAACATTTATTACAACATCTATTAAATGAAGTAGAACGTGTTGTCTATCTATATATATAAAATCGTTCATGTCTGTCTGTCTGTGTGTGTGTGTGTGGACTTTGGCCCATACGCACTTTCATTGGACGGCGGTTGCCCCTGGCAACGGCTAGCCACGCCTTCGCCGCTTTCATTGGACCTGGCAACGGCTAGCCACGCCTTCGCCAAGGGCTGCAGTTTCATTGGACGGCGGTTGCCCCTGCCAACGGCTAGCCACGCCTTCGCCACTTTCATAAGCTCCGTATTTAATTAAATAATAGCCATTACACAGTATTGTTGGAGCGCTAGGGGGGGGGGGAAGGAACGCCACCCGTACCCTGCCTCTTCCAAGCCGACAATTTTAGGCGAGGCCGCAGGCTTTGCACGCTACTAGGCCTCGACACCCACCACGCCACTCTGAGGTAAATTCATCAAAGTTTTTCCTACTCTTCACTACACCCCCACCACAATGTGTGCTATTAATATTACTTTTAAACCCAACGCGCCAACAATCGATTACTTTAATGTTCACTGTACAAATACTCATTAAGCTGGGTGAGCGTACTGCCAGTCTATCATGTACACTGTAGCCTGCTTATTAAGCTCGGTGAGCGTACTGCCACTCTATCATGTACACTCTAGCCTGCTTATGAAGCTGAGTGCGTGTACTGGCAGTCTATAATGTGGACTCTTGCCTGGTTATTATAATCAATTCTTTATATGTTCTTTGTACAAACAGTCATTAAGCTGCTTGAGCGACCCCAGTTCGATTCCAACTCACGCCCACCACCGCTGACGATTATTTGAAACGGACCTGGCCCTCCCCTAGGTCCACTCAGCCTCAAAAGCGTAACTGCTGTCGTGTGTGAACATCGTCACTGGGGAGACAAAGGCGGCGGGGCATCGTGGATCCAAGTCCCGGGCCAAGCCGGGTCATGTGTATGTGTGTTTGTGTTTATGTGTATGTCTGTGTGTCTCTATGTATGTGTGTATGTATGTGTATGTATGTGTTTGTGTGTATGTGTGTGTGTATGTATGTGGGTTTTTTTTTTATGTCTTTATGTGTATGTCTGCGTGTCTCTATGTATGTGTGTATGTACGTGTGTGCATGTGTTTGTGTGTATGTATGTGTGTGTCTATGTATGTGTGTGTCTACGTATGTGTGTATGTGTGTGTATGTATGTGTGTTATGTGTCTGTCTGTGTCTGCATGTATGTGTGTGTGTATTGTGTATGTGTTTGTGTGCATGTATGTGTGTGTTTGTGTGTATGTGTATGTCTGTGTGTATGTGTTTGTGTGTATGTCTGTGTATGTATGTGTGTGTATGTGTTTGTATGTGTTTGTGTGTTTACGCTCGCATTACACAAATGTGTTGCTGGTCTAAGGCGTTCCTCGCACAGCATTGCCGCTTTATTATTTCAGTCGTTTACTGCCTTACGCACCCTGAAAGTCGTGTGTGTCTGCAGCAAGCGCGTGTATGTGTACCTATGGACGCGCGCGCGTGTGTTGTGTAGGGGGAACGGTAGTGTAGTGCTTAGCGTGCTGTCTGTGTCTGTGTGTGTGTGTCTGCGTGTGTCTGTGTGTGTGTCTGTGTGTGTGCGTGTGTGGTGTGTGGGGAGCGGTAGTGTAGTGCTTAGCGTGCTGTCTGTGTGTCTGTGTGTGTGTGTGTCTGTCTGTGTCTGTCTGTGTGTGTCTGCGTGTGTCTGTGTGTGTGTCTGTGCGTGTGTGGTGTGTGAGGAGCGGTGGGTGTAGTGCTTAACGCTACGCTGCGCTACCAACCCGGCGAACCCAGTTCCATTCCCGCTCACGGCCACCACCGGTGACGATTATTTGAACCTCCCCTAGGTCCACTCAGCCTCAAACGAGTAACTGGTGTGGCGTATTAACATCGGCACTTGGGAGACAAAGGCGGCTGGGCGTGGTAGATCCAAGTCCCGGGCGAAGCCGGGTCATGTGTATGTGTTTATGTGTATGTCTGTGTGTCTGTATGCATGTGTGTATGTATGTGTGTGTATGTGTTTGTGTGTATGTCTGTGTGTGTATGTATGTCGGTTTTGCCGCCGTGGTGGATCCAAGTCCCGGGCGAAGCCGGCTCATGTGTATGTGTTTATGTGTATGTCTGTGTGTCTGTATGCATGTGTGTATGTATGTGTGTGTATGTGTTTGTGTGTATGTCTGTGTGTGTATGTATGTCGGTTTTGCCGCCGTGGTGGATCCAAGTCCCGGGCGAAGCCGGGTCATGTGTATGTGTGTATGTGTTTATGTGTATGTCTGTGTGTCTGTATGCATGTGTGTATGTATGTGTGTGCATGTGTTTGTGTGTATGTATGTGTGTGTGTATGTATGTGGGTTTTTTTGTATGTGTTTATGTGTATGTCTGCGTGCCTGTATGTATGTGTGTATGTACGTCTGTGGATGTGTTTGTGTGTATGTATGTGTGTGTCTATGTATGTGTGTGTATGTGTTTCTGTGTTTGTATGTGTGTGTATGTATGTGTGTTATGTGTCTGTCTGTGTGTCTGCATGTATGTGTGTGTGTATTGTGTATGTGTTTGTGTGTGTTTGTGTGTTTACGCTCGCATTACACAAATGTATAATGCGGGTCTAAGGCGTTCCTTACACAGCATTGCCGCTTTATTATTTCAGTCGTTTACTGCCGTATGCACCCTGAAAGTCGTGTGTGTCTGCAGCAAGCGCGTGTATGTGTACCTATGGACGCGCGCGCGTGTGTTGTGTAGGGGGAACGGTAGTGTAGTGCTTAGCGTGCTGCCTGTGTCTGTGTGTGTGTGTCTGTGTGTGTGTCTGTGTGTGTGTCTGTGTGTGTGCGTGTGTGGTGTGTGGGGAGCGGTAGTGTAGTGGTTAGCGTGCTGTCTGTGTGTGTGTTTCTGTCTGTGTGTGTCTGCGTGTGTCTGTGTGTGTGTCTGTGTGTGTGTCTGTGCGTGTGTGGTGTGTGAGGAGCGGTGGGTGTAGTGCTTAACGCTACGCTGCGCTACCAACCCGGCAAACCCAGTTCGATTCCCGCTCACGGCCACCACCGGTGACGATTATTTGAACCTCCCCTAGGTCGACTCTGCCTCAAACGAGTAACTTAACTACTGTAGCGTATTAACATCGCCACTGGGGAGACAAAGGCGGCCGGCCGTGGTAGATATAAGTCCCGGGCGAAGCCGGGTAGTACAGCTAGTATTTATTTAAAGTCGCGAATTTTAAATACGACGTCACATTTCTCAACCGCCCTCGTCACGCATCGTCACAAAAGTCTGACCCCGCCCTCCCCCAGGTGCGTGACGTCATTTATGGACACCCCCCCCCCCCCCTCGAACATCCACAGAAGTTTCGTGGCCTCTCGACTCCTCCTCACCCCGTCAGGAGGGAAGGCGACCCAGCCGAGGTCTCCCTGCGCCGTCTCCGTGTCGAGCATGTCCACTGGGGGGGAGAGACACGCACGCACAGAGACACGCACACACAGAGACACGCACACACAGAGACACGCACACACAGAGACACGCACACACAGAGACACGCACACACAGAGACACACACACAGAGACACGCACACACAGAGACACGCACGCACAGAGACACGCACACACAGAGACACGCACACACAGAGACACACACACACAGAGACACGCACACACAGAGACACGCACGCACAGAGACACGCACACACAGAGACACGCACACACAGAGACACTCACACACACAGAGACACGCACACACAGAGACACGCACACACAGAGACACGAAGTCTCAAGTTCAAGTTGCATTGATACTGGTAGGAGCCTCCTGGCTACACCAGCCCACATGGGATTATTGTGTCCGTCGTGCAGGGAGGGGCTGGGTGGGGAGGGAGGGGCTGGGTGGGGAGGGGAGGGTGTGGAGGGGCTGGATGGGGAGGGTGGGGAGGGGCAGGGTGGGGAGGGTGAGGAGGGGCAGGGTGGGGAGGGTGGGGAGGGGCTGGGTGGGGAGGGTGGGGAGGGGCAGGGTGGGCAGGGTGGGGAGGGGCTGGGTGGGGAGGGTGGGGAGGGGCTGGGTGGGGAGGGTGGGGAGGGGCAGGGTGGGGAGGGTGGGGAGGGGCTGGGTGGGGAGGGTGGGGAGGGGCTGGGTGGGGAGGGTGGGGAGGGTAGGGAGGGGCTGGGTGGGGAGGGGAGGGTGGGGAGGGGAGGGTGGGGCTGGGTGGGGAGGGTGGGGAGGGGCTGGGTGGGGAGGTTGGGGAGGGGAGGTTGGGGAGGGTGGGGTTGGGTGGGGAGGGTGGGGAGGGGCTGGGTGGGGGCTGGGTGGGGCTGGGTGGGGAGGGGCTGGTCACCCCGTGGTGCCCTTATAAAACTCAACGTTTAACCTACTGACACCGGCTTGTGCCCGCCCTCACAGTCGGGCATATTTGCGGAATACACCACGCCGCCGTTGACCCTGGCCACTGACCGAGCAACCCGACGTTCCTACCAGCTCCCTCCGCAGCAGGACAATGTGTTAAAGCGACAACGCGTAACAGAAACATCCTGGAATCAACAGCAAATATTCAATTTTTGTTATTAAAATGCTGCGTGCAAAAATCCCCACCACCACCGTGACCACGCGTGTCACAAACTGTAGGGGCAGGTGCTGTTAGTGAGTAGTAGCACCTACGAAGGCCGGCACCGTGGCACACGAGAGGGGGTGGGTGGCCAGCACCACGCCCGACCGCCTTTGTCTCCCCCAGTGGCGATGTTTACACACCGCACCAGGTACTCATTTGAGGCTGAGTCGACCTTGGGGGGGCGCAGGACCGGTTCAGATAATCGTCACTGGTGTTGGCCGTGAGCATGATTCGAACCCGTGTCGCTGGGTTCGCAGCTCAGCGTGCTAAATGCTGCACCACCACTCCCCACACAGACACACACAGACAGACACACACAGACACACACACAGACACACAGACAGACACACACAGACACACACACAGATACACACACACACAAACACACACACAGACACACACAGACACGCACAGACAGACACACACAGACACACACAGACCCACACAGACACACAGACAGACACACACACACACAGACACACACACACAGACACACACGCGGACACAGACACACACACACAGACACACACACACAGACACACAAACACAGACACACACACAGACACACAAACACAGACACACACACAGACACACACAGAGACACACACACAGACACACACACAGACACACACACAGACACACACACAGACACACACCCACACAGACAGAGACACACACCCACACAGACAGAGACACATACACCCACACACCCACACACACAACCACACACACACCCACACAGACAGAGACACACACCCACACACACACAGAGACAAAGATCCCCCGTATAGCCTGAACAGACTGTAGGGGCAAGTGCTGTTAGCGAGCACCTGTAAAGGCTGGAACGGTACACGAGGGGGTGGGTGGCCAGCACCACACCCGGCCGCCTTTGTCTCCCCAGTGGCGATGTTTACACACCGCACCAGGTACTCATTTGAGGCTGAGTCGACCTAGGGGAGGCCCAGGACCGATTCAGATAATCGTCACTGGTGTTGGCCGTGAGCGGGATTCGAACTCGGGTCCCCACACAGACACACACACAGACACACACACACACACACAGACACACACAGACACACACAGACACCCACGGACACACACACGGATACACACACGCGGACACACACACAGACACACACACAAACACACAGACACACAAACAAACACACACACAGACACACACACTCACAGACACACACACAGGCACACTCACAGACACACACAGACAAAGACCCCCCGTATAGCCTTAACAGACTGTAGGGGCAAGTGCTGTTAGCGAGCACCTATGAAGGCCGGAACGGTACACGAGGGGGTGGGTGGCCAGCACCACCGCACCAGGTACACACACAGACACACACACCCAACCACACACAGACACACACACAGACACACACACACACAGACACACACACAGACACACACACCCACCCACACACACCCACCCACACACAGACACACACACACAGACACACACTTTACGAATCTCCACACACCTGTGCGAGTGATGAGTCACAGTGTAAACGCACGTCCACGTCACGTGCTCTCGCAATTCACTCACTCGCCTGAGTCACGTGCTTGCTGTCAAGGCATCAGCCAATTAATTAGGCCAATTAGTGACGCAATCCCACTGATTGATTAATCGCAGGCGGGCAGGCTGAACGAGGAGTGAGTCTCACCGGTTGGGAACGTGAATTGTCCACTTCTCTCTCGACTCGCGTGTGGAGCGGTGGCTCCCGGCGCTGTGTGCAGGGGGTTTAATGATCGCTCACTGGACTTGAGGTGGAGGTGGTGGTGGTCGTGGTGGTGGTCGTGGTGGTGGTGGTGGTCGTGGTGGTGGTCGTGGTGGTTGTGGTGGTGATGGTGGAGGTCGTGGTGGTGGTCGTGGTGGTTGTGGTGGTGATGGTGGTGATGTTGTAAGGAGTTGGAGCCGCAAGTGACGGTCTGTCATCTCAAGTTTATTTGCGAGCTACAAATATCCGAGTTGGGGGGGTGTGTGTGCATGCGTAGCACAATCCACACTCTGTGCGTTCTCCAGATTCATAGACTCACTTCCTGGAGATTGTGATCATTCTTAATTTCAACAACAACAATAACAACACTGCTGTTAAGTAGTAGAGATGATACTGCAGCTCTTGGGTTACGCTGTACATTTCGTGTCAATGCCGAGCCGTTAGGAACGATTTCATCATGAAAGTGTTCGCCCAGAGTCGTTAAGTAATGTTTGTGTTGACTATAATATTCATGACTCAAAGCTTTCGTGACTGCAGGAATTCATCGATTTTCCCTGCCTTAGCAGCTCTCCCGCTACATGATATTGTTATTATTTTTATATATTTTTTTCATCTACGTGGCTTTACTGAAAGACCCAAAGAATATCATAATCGTCGTTGTCAATCATCATCATCAGCTGCGATAGCATTCAGTGGCATCATCAGTTGAATCATCATCAGCAGCAGCAGCATCATCAGTTGAATCATCATCAGCAGCATCATCAGTTGAATCTTCAGCAGCAGCATCATCAGTTAAATCAGCAGCATCATAATCATCAGTTGAATCATCATCATCAGCAGAAGCATCATCAGTTGAATCAGCAGCATCATCAGTTAAATCAGCAGCATCATAATCATCAGTTAAATCCGCATCATCATCAGCAGCATCATCATCAGCAGCATCATCATCATCAGCAGCAGCAGCATCATCATCAGCAGCATCATCAGTTGAATCATCAGCAGCAGCAGCATCATCAGTTGAATCATCAGCAGCAGCAGCATCATCAGTTGAATCATCATCAGCAGCAGCATCATCATCAGTTGAATCATCATCAGCAGCATCAGCAGCATCATCACATCCCTTGTCGCCTTCTGACAGCATCATCGGCAACAGCGGCACCATCACGGTCGCCATGCAGCAGCAGCAGCAGTGCGCTGACAGCGCAAGTGTTCCCAGTGCGACCTGCGGCGTCTCGTCGCCCGGGCTCGTCTCCCGGTCGCAGGGCTACCTGCGCGTACCTCCAGGTGTGTCTGCAGGAGTGCCTGTGTATCAGCCAGGCGTGGGTGAACGCCAGCCAGGTGATCATCAGAAGGTCCACGGTTGTCGGGGGTTCGCAACGGGCGTGCGGCCCGTGTCGATGCCGGCGGCGTGGGCAGCCGAGCGGCAGGGGCGCCACCTGAAGCTGGAGCGCCTCTCGCCGGGTTTGCCGGGGGGGCGGACGGGCCTCGTGCCGGCGAGCGAGACTCGTGCGGCCGCGAGGAGCGGAGGCGACGACGATGTCGTTCGGTGGTCGATAGGCGCTGAACGTTGCTGGGGCGATGCACGTCTGGAGGTGACGCGTTCGTGCGCGTTGCGGGTGAGCGGCGCGGGTGCGTCTCGTGCGGGTGTCGGCTCGCAAGGTGCTGTGGAGGCGCGGACAGGTGTGAGGAGTGGGACAGGTGTGTGTGCAAGTGTGGGTAGTTCAGGTGTGAGGAGTGGGACAGGTGTGTGTGCAAGTGTGGGTAGTTCAGGTGTGAGGAGTGGGACAGGTGTGTGTGCAAGTGTGGGTAGTTCAGGTGTGAGGAGCGGGACAGGTGTGTGTGCAAGTGTGGGTAGTTCAGGTGCGAGGAGTGGGACAGGTGTGTGTGCAAGTGTCGGTAGCTCAGGTGTGAGGAGTGGGACAGGTGTGTGTGCAAGTGTGGGTAGCTCAGGTGTGACGAGTGGGACAGGTGTGTGTGCAAGTGTCGGTAGCTCAGGTGTGAGGAGTGGGACAGGTGTGCTGAATGTAGGGCTGGTTCCACGTGCTGGTGGTGATGGCAGTGGTGGTGTTGGTATTGGTAGTGGTGGTTGTGGCATTGGTGGTGATGGTAATG